ATTCCAACTCCTATAAGCCTGATTCAGTCCATATATGGATCGGTTAAGTTTGCATACCATGTGTTCCTGACCTGCAGGAATGAATCCTTGTGGTTGTTGCATGTAGATATATTCAGTAAGATCTTCTTTCAAGAACGCGGTTTTGATATCCATTTGCAAAACCTCGTAGTTATGCTATGCTGCTACAGCTAGCAAAATCCTAATAAACTTCAGCATAGCCACCGACGAGGCGAAAATGTTTCCTCATAGTCGATTCCCTCTTTCTGAGTGTACCCTTTCGCCACAAGACGAGCTTTATAGGTCCCGATGTTACCATCTGGGCCATTTTTCCTCTTATAAATCCACTTGCAACCAATTGCATTCACCCCAAAGGGTGGGTCCACAAGAGTCTAGACCTTGTTGGTCTCCATCGAGTCCATCTCGGCTTTCATGGCATCTACCCACTTCATGGAATCTATGTCCAATATAGCTTCCGCATAATTCGTGGGATCCTTCTCACTTGTCGTGGCTTCCACCAAGTAACTTTCTTGGTCATAACGTAACAAACTGGAGGCCTGGATACCCGGGTAGACCTTCTTGGTTGAGTATTTGGAGCTTGTAAGACATCTCCCACTACTCCTACGCTCTCCTCATTAAGAACTACTTCTTCTGAAAATTGTCCAGGATGTAATCTTCTTCAAAGAAACAGGCATTTCGACTGCTAAGCAGCTTTTGTTCTTTTGGATCATAGAATAGGTAACCTACAGAGCCTTTGGGGTAACCTTCAAATAGGCAACGACTGCTCTTAGATTCCAATTTGTCAGCACTAGTTCTTTTAACATGTGCCGGACAACCCCAAATCTTTAAGTGTCTCACACTTGGTTTCTTACCTGTCCAAAGCTCATAGGGAGTCTTCGGAACGGATTTGGTTGGAACCTGATTCAGCACGTTGATCGCAGTTTCTAATGCGTATCCCCAAAATGATGTAGATAATTCTGAGTGGATAAGAAGTGATCGGACCATATCCAATAAGGTCCAGTTCCTCTTCTCCGACACACCGTTTAATTGTGGTGTAGCGGGAGGGGCTAATTGTGATACTATCCCATTGTCCTTTTAAGTAGTCCCTGAATTCATCAGAGATAAACTCACTACCTCGATCTAATCGAAGGGCTTTAATTTCTCTCCCTAACTGTTTCTCCACTTCTTGTTTGAACTCCTTGAACTTTTCAAATGATTCAGACTTATGTCTCAATAGGTACACGTAACCATACCAAAAATAATCATCGGTAAAGGTTATAAAATAAATGTATTGATTACATGTCCTAACATTCAGGGGACCACACACATCAGTATGTATAAGGTCAAGTGTGCCTGTAGATCTTTTAGGCTTACCATTAAATAGCGGCTTCGACATCTTACCCTGAAGGCAAGGTTCACAGGTTGGAGATCTTCTACGGTTAAAAAATTCAAAGGACCATCCTTTACCAACCTTGTGATGGGATCTATGTTAATGTGGTTTGTGTTAATAAAAATAATATATATAATGAAAATATTAAAATTATTAATTATTATAATTCTTAATTTTTTAAATATAAAATAAAAAAGTAATATATAATTTTTATTTTTATCAAATATTTTTTCTCAAAATCGAGCTCGAGCCGAGTTGAGGTCGAGCTTATGCACCTAGGCTTCTACTAGCCTAGGACAGATGGCCTTACACAACCATCTTTTGCACCTAGYCGAGCCAAGGACAGATGGCCTTACACAACCATCTTTTGCACCTAGGCTTCTACTGGCCAACCATGCTAGAAAATACTCAAAGACATGTATGCAAGTGTCACACATGCCAAGTACATGGACAGTGAATACACCATCCAGGCAACAACCTCCACCCCGTTATAACACCATGGCTTTTCCATACTTGGGGGGTAGACCTGATAGGTAAAATATGCCCACCGTCTAGGGGATATTGCTTCATTGTTGTGGCTACGGGTTATTTTATGAAATAGGCGGAGGCCTATCACTGATGAGGATCTGCGCAGAAAATATAGAAATTTCTTAAGGCAACACATAGTCCACCAGTTTGGGATCCCAATGGGGATGCTTACGGACAATGGATTATCTATTGAGAATCAAGAAGTCCAAGATTTACTGGGGCAGTACAGAGCACGATTGGGGAGATCAACGACTTACTACCCACAAGGGAATGGGCAAGAAGAGGTGACTAACAAAACTTTGTTGAAGATGTTGATAAAGATGGCGGCCGAAAATCAAAGGGACTGGGCCGAGAAGTTATTTGAGACACTCTGGGCCTATCGCACAACAATTAGAAAACGTACACACACAACTCCATATTCCTTGTCTACGGCCAAGAAGCAGTCTTACTGAAAGAAATGCAAACAGTGTCTGCTAGAGTTGCTCATGAGATTGGAAATCATTTCCAGACAGAGTACATGAACCAGCTGCTTAGTAACAAACTAGAATGTGTAGAAGAAGCCAGAGAAAAATCATTGCAAAAACAAATAAAATACAAACAAATTATGGCTTCCAACTTTAACAAACTGGTAAAGCCTCGCAAATTCAAAGAAGGGGATAAGGTGTTGAAGACAACAATGCATCTGTGACAAGGGAAATCAGCTAGAAAATTTGCTCCTCACTGGATCAGACTGTACATTATTAAAGAAGCACATTCGACCGGATATTATGTGTTATGGGATATAAATACAAAYGAACAAAACGAGATAATGAATGGACATTTGTTGAAATTGTACAATGAATGACAATGATATTTTTATTTGATATGTATATGTTAATAAGATCCCTTTTATGTTTCAAATTCATGTGCTAATTATGTTTCCTTTGGCAACTATTTAATTCTTGTATATTACTCATGCGATATGGATTATTGTGATTTACTAATTGTGCTTTGGGATTGAACCAATAGTACAACCTCATATTTCTTGGCAATCCATGCATGATTGCATATTTCCTATGCGCAATTACATATTCCTTGGCAACTCCAAGTGTCATCTCTCATATTCCCTAGCAGCCCTAGGAAGGCCTTGGCAACCCCAAGTGTGATCTCTCATATTCCCTGACAACCCGAGGAAGGCCTTGGAAATCCTAAGTGCGATCTCTCATATTCCCTCACAACCCCAGGAAGGTCATGGCAACCCCAAGTGTGATCTCTTATATTCCCTGGCAACCATAGGAAGGCCTTAGAAACCCCAAGTGCAATCTCACATTACCCTAGCAACCCTAGGAAAGCCCTGGCAGCCCCAAGCGTGATTTCAAGTTACCCTGGCAACCCCAGAGAGACCTTGGCAATCTCTCAAGCGTAGTACCTTACTACCCTGGTGACCCCGTGAGTGATCTTACGGAGCCCTAGTAACCCCAAGCATGACACACTACTTACGAAACATGTGTAGTTAGTCTAAGGCACTAGTAAGATACCTCGTTTATATCGCAAACAGATAACAAAATGTAAGCGATGATAGCACACAGGCCACGACCTAACAAATGGGGGCTAAGTCATAGCCCAAGATTGAGAATGCTCTTTCACTCATTAAACATCACCCAAACATATCRATACCATCTCAAGATCATAACAGGTTCCCATCAAAGTAACAAACCCGACTAATGGGAATAGCAAAATATATATGACACAAAATGGCAAAAACATAATACAGTGCACATAAGAAAAAGTCGCTTTTATTGATTGGTATCAACAGTTGAATATTGACAAAACAATAGTAAACTACAAGATACAAATTTCCTATTCACTAAACCGTTCATTGTGCATTTCGATGATCTTCTCTAAACTCACCCTTTGTTCTTGCATGGTGACAATTTCTTGACGCTCTTCCTGTAACTGTGATAGCACCTTCTGTTGGTGAATGGCCTCGTCAAGAAGAGCCGATATCTTCTCCTCTGTCTTTGAAATACTGGCATCCACAACATTCAATCACCTACCAAGTTCATACAGGCCCTTGGAAGAAATTGGATTTGATTCCTTATAGCCGGTCTTCCAAAACCGTGAGCCATACGAATCACTCGCTCTTCGATATGCTCCATCCTAATGCCCATCGCAACGAATAAGATGCACGTCTTCAACCACTGGGCGAACAGAGACTAGGGGTGTAAATGGTATTCAAAAATTCGATTTCGAATTCGATATTCAACATAATCGAATCGAATTCGGATAATTCGAATATCTAATCGGTCGAATTTGGATATCCTATTTATACYGAATAGTTAATCGGATTTGAATTCGGATATGACCTGATTCGATTCGATAAATATCCGAATTCAACCAATTATTTGATTCTTATAGATAATATATAAAATATTTTGTATAATTTATATATAATAATTAAATTATATAAATAATTTATATATTTATATATTTATATATTTATATACTTTATATCAATAAAATATTTATTTTATATATTTATTAATTATCTAAAATAATTAATTATTCGAATTCGAATTAAATCAAATCAAATATTTAAATATTTAATCATATTTGAATTCGAATATTATTTTCAATATCCGTCGGATATCGAATCAAATTCAGATATCGGGTTTTCTAATCGAATTCAAATTCGGATATTTCCTTATCCGATTCGAATTCAATCCGTTTACACCCCTAATAGAGACCATGATAGTGACTCCACGGACTCTCACATAATGGAGTTCATTAAACCTGCCACATGTTTAAGGAGGCACTCATAATCACATGCGGAAATTCAACGGAAGGCAACCACCACTTCTCAATAACCACCCAATTAGTGGGTCAAAATGGGTGGATTGGTGTTTAACCCATCAGTCCGGATTGAGTGGACCCTTAGGTTCACGGGGCACATGAACCCTCCAATAGTAGACGTGGACGTCAACTCATGACAGGCGCTAGTCGTTAACTTCTATTTGTCCGGTTGAACCGGACACTAAAAACAAAAAAAAAAATGAAACTTGTTTTAAATTTTAGAATTTCATTTGAACTTCCCTTCCATCGGCATTTGGCTTTCGCCTTTTGCCGGAAAACCTTCAGTACGGTTTGCAGCGGACTGGCGCACTCCATTGGCAGCCGGAAAATCTCTCATCCAACTCGAACTTCCCTCCCATCAGTTTTTGGCTTTCACCTTTCGCTGGAAAACCTTCAGTATGGTTTCTAGTGGACCGGCGCACTCCATTGGTAGCCGGAAAATCTCTCATCCAAAGACCGGCGCACTCCATCGGCAGCCAAAAAGCCTTCAAAATATTCACTCCATCGATAGCCGGACCAGCGCATATCGAAAGGTGTGCACGTCGAGAAAGGCAAAAGGCGAAATCTCTCATCACAGCCAGAAAACCTTCAATATGGTTTCAACGATTCCACGCTGCTCTCCTCACGGCTTCATCAGAACTAGATAAGCGGGAATTCACTAGCAGCCAAAACGCTGGCCCTTCAGCAGCAACTACTTCTTTCGAGAGGCGGCATTGGAATGGCGATATCGCCGTCGTCTGTTCCCGACACTAGCTCTCAAGGCGGTGAGTTGGGGCTTCACCCACTTCCTCTAAGCCTGGCCAACGCTGATTCCTCGGATTCTAGGCTCCTCGTCATTTTCTTACTTTTTTCTTTATTTGAATCCGTAGAACGGAGAAGCTTCAGTTCAAGGGTTGTACAATGGATTCGCCGGATCTCTGTCTCGTACTGCTCAAACAGCAAACCAGCAACATTTTCACAATCCACAAGTGGGTACTCATTTGCTCAATTATTTAATTAATTCTAGTTTCTGGTTTGTGTTAATGTTAGCACAGAATTTCAGTGCACCGGCAACGACGGCACCAGCGGTAGGGGAAGCAGGAGGAGTTGGTGCCGCTCCCCAGAGGCAGCAGAGGGCGAGGGCCGGGAGAGGGTAGGAGGAGTGATGTTGTTTGTGCAGAAAAATCGTCACTGGCCGGAGAATGGGAGGGAGGAGTCTTTTTTCATTTTTTGTCTTTTAGTGTTCAGTTCAACCGGACGGATAGTAGTTAACATTAAACGACCGTTATGCTAAGGTTGGTTCAAAGGCGTCGACGTGCATGCCTCCTATTAGAGGGTTCACGCGCCCCGTGAACCTAAGGGTCCACTAATCCGGACTCTTAACCCACACCCAACCCAATTCAACCCACCAATTTGCCACCCCTGGATTCAAATTCGAATACGAGGTCTCCAAATCTAATTGGATTTCTAAAGATAAAATGTATTTAAATTTTTATCTTTTCGTATTTTAAAATATTAAAAGTGCAGCAAATCCGATTTGTGTTTGTTAGGATTCGCATTCAAATTACTTCTTCATATCCAATCAGATTTAGGAAGTTGAAAAATAATGAGCATTGGTGTGTTCAACTAGCCAGATGTGTATGTTTTCGTCTCTGACTAATCTGCTMCCGTTGGATTGAATCTGAATTCAATTCGAGTCTATTAGGATTCAAATTCAAATCCAATACATGGTCTTCAAGTCCAATTGAATTCAGGTGCAAGGTTTTATTAATCGAATCGGATTAGAATTTTGTCGAATCTGATCCATTTACAACTTAGAGAAGGGATAACGAAGTGGGTAATAACAAATTCAGATGGATGCTTTGGAAATAAAAAGTTGATCATTTACGAAAAGACATTAAACTCCCTCTTTTTATATAGTACATAGATGCCCATCCTGGGTGCTAGAAGATTCTAGTTAGATGTCTTGTTTTTTCTAAGGTTCTCAAGCCTAGTATTTATTGGAAAGGGACTTATCTTTCATTGGCTGGCAAAGAAAAGCTATGAAAACTGTACAAACCCAAAGAATCTTTGGGTCAAGATCATTAATCTAGATACATGAAAAGGAAAGGAAAAAAATACTATCAGGTATTTTCCCTAGAAGAGGGTTATGGGGGTGGAGTGTTTTGATTGGCAAAAGAATTCTCCTTAAAGATGCTAGGTGGACCAATTAGTAAAGACCAAAATTGTGATATATGGAGTGATCCCTAGATTCCATAGTTAGTAGGGAAATTCATACAAGGTTTGTAAAGGTTTTTCCACCTTTCCCTTCCTTTTCCTACTTTTTTCCTTCAAACCAAACACAGCCTAAATGAATAAGATTTAAGAAGTTGAACTCTAATTTAATTGATAACATCTTTATCCCTAGCTTAATTTGCCTTGAAAATAAAACATATTAAGCAAAGTAATCTTGAATGGGAGGAGAAACTAATTTAGGACCTAGATTCCAAATGACTCTTTTTTGTCATATTGGCCTATCATGTTGTCACAAACTTGCAAAGGTGGGTTTAGTATAAGAAATGAGTCATGTAGTAAAGGCCTAAAAAAGATATTGGCTTTCAAATGTAGATCCAAAAATCAAATTGTTCCTTATAACAATCCCTTAGCAGTTAGTTACCATCTAAGAGAAGGCTCCATTCATTTTCCGGTATTTAGTGGGGGTAAGTTGGTAAACCGATAACTTGATCGTTTATAGTTCATTTTTAGTTCATGCCATTAATAATACTAACATTTTGATCGTTTATAGTTCAATTTATTTATATTATTCATGATTCGATTCTAATTCAAAATTGAATTGGATTCATTATAAAAATCTAGTGGATAAGATTCCATTCAAGTTCAAATATGAATGAATCAAATTGAATATACCTATATTTGATTCGATTTGGTCCATTTTATATCCCTATTTATTCATCTAAGGTGAGATAGGGGTGCAACTTGGSTGAGCCCAAATCGAGCCCCACCCAATTCAACCAAAGCTCTTGTACAGGTTGGGCTTGAGTTTTCAAACTTCAAGCTGGTCTTGGTAAAAAAATTTAAGCTTAACCTAATCTCAGGTTGGACTTGAATTTTGAGGCCTTGGGTCACCCGACCCGCCCCAACCCAATTTGATCCCACCCAATGTTTTATGATATACCTATATATTTGCATGTCATCAATCTATTCTACCTAAAAATTGGTTTACATACGCCCAAGCCGAGATTTKGGTTAATCTCAAGTTAGGCCTGGGTTAGAACACTCAAGCTTAACCTTGAGTTAGGCCAAGCCTATGCTCGAGGTTTGAGACTTAGGGTTGGGCTTTGGCCTTCAGTTGGCCCTCAACCCAAGCCACACCCCAAGAAGTAGCATTGTGACTTTCCTAATTGTATTAGTTTTTATTTTTTTATTAAATTGTTTTGACTATTACTAAATTCTTGTTTAGTAGATTAGGGGATTTAAAATTAATAATAATTAAGTTTAAGATTAATAATTTTGTTAATTTTTTAATTCTATTCACAAACTTTTAAGGTCATTTTATTTTTTAAACGAAATCTAAATAGATATCAAAATATAAAGTTTTGTTTTGAAACTAAACTTTTCTTACTTTTCTGTTGTTTTATTAATAAGCATGTATTAATTTGTATTAACTTTATTTTTAAATAAAATGTTTTTTACTAATTCACATTATTCTTATCTATATTTTTATTACATTATTAACTTAATTAGTTAACTAATTTATTATGTTAATAATTAATTGGTTAACTAATTAATTAAGCTTTAGTAATTAAGTTATAATTAGTTAACTAATTATATAATTATCTTATTATTTAGTTAATCTTTTTAATTATATAATCATTTTCCAAGTGAACTAAATTTGTTAAGTAATTAATGTAATTAAGAAACTAATAACTAATTAATTAACCTTAGTTAATTAATTTAATTTAATAAAGGTTTATTGATTCTCAAGGTTATTCCATTAATTTTATTTTTTACATTTTATTAATCATTTTTTGAAATTCTACTTAATTTAAAATTATTAGCTTTAATGTTTGTTAAGAGAAACCAATTTTATTACTTTTATTATAGTTATTCATTTTTGTTTTTATATTTAGTATTTTTTGTACTTAATTGTAATTTTTACTTTTTTTTATTTTTTTCATTCTAATTATTCCGTGGTTACAATTTATTGAAAATAAACATTAAAACTAAAAAAATTACTAACTTGTATTATTTTATCCTTTTTTATTAATTTTATCAAGAAGCAAGTTAATTTTTATGATTAGTTTCGTAGTGGAAATTTTAATTAAATAAACTGATTTTATGATTTAATTAGATTGTATTAAGTACAATCAAAATACTAATATAATTAGTTGAGTTATTGATGGAACACCTATCCTTTTATTGAAAACCAATATTCCAGATTTAGCATACCTTTTAAAGAAGATAACTAATTCCCATCATGCCTTCGTTCTTACAAAAATGGAATAACTATCAATTTATCATAAGAAGATTGCCTTTAAAGATTGACGTTAGATAGTTGCAATGAGCAAAGAGAAGATAATGACGTGGGTTAAGGAGGTAGTTGGGAATGATAAATGAGAGAGAGAGAGAGAGCAAGGATGGGGTAAGGGAGAAAGGAGAGAGGTTTAATGAGAGAATAGAGAAGGGGGAATGGGAGAAGGAGAGAGATGCTGACGTGAGACCTAATCGTTTTATAATAAACTAGTAGGGACCCATGCGATGCATAAGCTTTGTTAAAAGAACTTGAGGCAAAACGAGTTAGGGGTGTAGCTTAAGTAGGCCTAATCTGACACAGATCCACTTCAACCAAAAATTTTGCATAGGTTGGGCTTCAGCTTTCAACTTCAAGTTAGGCTTAGGCCAAAATCCTCAAGCCTTACCTAAATTCAAGTTAGGCTTGGGTTAAGGCTTTGGGTAGCCCGACCCCAATTCAACTAATTTGAGTCCGACCAACATTTTTTTGGCATACATATCTACATATTATCAATATATTCTACATAAAAATTGGACTACGAAGCTGAACATGATCCCAAGCCTAGCTCAAGATGTTGGGTTAAAGCTCAGGTTAGGCCTAGGTTGGTAAGAGAAAAATTAATAGTAATTTTCAATAATTATTGATAAATTACTAATATATAACAAAAATAGAATGACAATAATTATTGATAATTTAGTAACCTAGGCTCAAGTTTACCAACTTAGGCCCAACTCGAGCTTAACCTAACATCTTGGGCTAGACTTGGGCTTGGGCGTTTTGAGCTTTATAGCCCAATTTCCAAGAAAAACATATTGATAAAATCATAAAATTGGATTGGGTCAACTTTAAACTACCCAGGCCTCAACCCAAACCCAACCTGAGTTTAGGTTAGCCTGAAGTTTTTTGGCCTAAACCCAACTTGAAGTTCAAAAACTCAAGCCCAACTTGTGCAAAAGCTTGGGTTGAACAAGGTCGAGCTTTGAGTTAGGCCCACCCAACCCAAGGTACACCCTTAGCTCCTTTGGCCTCAAATTCTTTTAACAAAACTCGTGCACCGTAGGGTCACCCTAGTAATTAATAGCACTAATTTTAATTTTTAGTTACTAATAATAATATTAATTACTAAGAATAGTAATATTTTATGGTATTTTTTAATTATTCACAAAAATTGGTAATAATTATATTTAAATTTTATAATTAATATTTAAAAAATATTAATAAATTTGTAATTATAGTTAATAATTCTCAATTATGAATTAATAAATTTTATAATTCTAAAATTATAAAAGCAATGCAATATATATAGATAGATTACTATTATTAATAGTAATAATAGTTAATTTAATTATTCATACAACCTTTATTAATTTTTAAATTTTGATACTAATAAAACAATTAATTACTAAAAATAGTAATATATTTTGGTATTAAATTTCAGAAATTGTTAATGAATCATGGATATAAATAATAGGTTTTAAGTGAATTTTGGTATTTTTTTAATTAATCCTGAAAATAATTAATTAATTTTGGTAAATTGTCGACAATATTAGTAATTAATCCAAAAAATATTATTACTAAAATGAAAATTATTAATTATTACAAATAGTAATATTGTTTGGGAATTTTTAATTAATCACGAAAATAATTAATTTATTTTGGTATGAGTTATAACAAAATAAAAATGAAAATTTTTAATTATAAACAATAGGTAATATACCATTCAAAGTAAATAGGTTGTAACTAGGACGGATTAATGAAAACCAAACCATACCCAATCCAATAAACCACATCACTTTAGTTAAATGGATTGAAGAGAGAGAGAGAGAGAGAGAGAGAGAGAGACAGATGTGTCTTAGTTAGAAGTAGGGATTAGTTAAGAGTATAAAAAAAGTTGGTTATGCTATATAAGCAATATTTTAGGAATGATGAGAGGTTCTTTAGGAATTAGGACTTTAGGAGAGTTTTAAGAACAATAAATTAGGAGTGTGGACAGGTTTTAGGAGAGA